ACAAGAAATATTAAATGGAAATGAAACAAATAAAAAAAGAAATAAAAGAATAATAAAAGATTGGTATCCTCCTCAATTCTTTCTTAGAAACTAAGCTTGAGAAATTCATCACGTGGAAAATCAAAAAAGAAAAATTAAATAAAAATATCTCTCTTACAATAAATAGCAATAAAATAAAAGATGAGAATTAAAAGCCAATTAAACTCCAAATTAGAAAATATGAGGCAGAGTCTTTAAAAAAAAAAAAGGGAGAAAATAAGAAAATTCAAAAATAAAAATCAAATTTCCCATTTAAGATGATTGACTCCTCAATTTAGAAATATCTTTGGGAGTCATAATTGTGAAAATTTTAAAAAGAAAAAATTAAAATAAAAAATTAGAATTTGATAACGATTTGGTGCTTAAATAGGAATTATGAGTCATAATTGGAAAAAAATTAAAAAAATGAAAATTAAAGAAAAATTAGAAAACCCTAGGTGGAGCTTATAAATAGGAGAGTAAGGGTTGGAGGAAGACACTCAGAATTTTTTGGTGAAAAAAGAGGCAAGCCAATTGATAAGTGGAGTATTAGGTATGAACTTCTATTCTTATCTACTGTGTTTAACTTGAATTTTATGATAAAGTGTTTTAGGGTATTCTTTCTCTCTATTTTTGAAAGCGCTTCTTTTTTTAAATCTGTACTGTGTGAGGTTTTTAGAACCTCCACAGGTATCTAGATTTATTGGTAAATCATATGAGACTATGGGAGTCTCTGTAGAAATACCAATATGGTTTGCAAGTTTCCTTTCTAAAATAAAAAGAGAGAAAGTAATTTTGACCCGATGTTAATAAATGAATAATAAAATAAAAAGTCTTTTTAAATATATTTACATGTTTTTCAGAGGTATGTGAGGTTCTTAGAACTTTCACAGGCTCGAATGATTATTCTCTCATGTGAGCTTAAGAGAAACTTTGCAGGGAGGGTAATCCAAAATTTCTTTCAAAAAATATTTCCTAAATTAAAATACAAAAATTGTTTTCACATATTAAAAAATACCAACCCACAAAAAATAAATTTTTAATTGAATAAATATTTTCTTTAAAAAATACCATCCAAGTGACATGCATTTTTATCTCTAAACTATGTGGGCTTTATCCCTCTAGAGGATACGTAGGCCGTAGTTTTTAATTCTAGGTCAAATTCAACTTTGTAAATAATTCTTTTTATTTTTTTGTAAATAAAGAGTTTTCTTTGTTTTTATCTTTATATTTTTTAGGGTAATTGAAAATAATAAAAAAGTCATATTAATTTTGAGTAGTTGATTTAGGATAACCGTTCTCTTGAATGTGTGTTGTGGGGTGTCTAATAACTTCTTCACACACAATCGACTCTCAAACCCTATTCGGTTTTCAAAGACCACATTTTTTTTAGGTTTCCAAAATTAATCTTTCAAAATTTTGGTGGCGACTCCTCTTTCTTTCCTTTTACTGGATTACCAAGATTCGGGAGCGACACTATACTTTGGGGAAAGATAAAGATTTTGAAAGTGAAGTATTGAATTTGACTAACGGTCTTGTAGTCTAATGGCATGTGCGCTTTTCTTGTAAGTGAAAGGTTACGAGTTCAATTCTATTTGTAAATTTAGGCTATTAGTGCCTGCCCCTCTAATTCCAAAATAAAATGAAATAAATAAAGTATTTAAAAGGATTGAAATTCATGTACGTACGTAATACTACAAAAAATTTGACTTTTAGCGGTGACATTTTAACGCCACCAGGTCGTTGCCCTAGCAGCCGTGATTGAGACTTATCAGTAGAGACATAACAAAGTTGTTGCTAAAAGCCTATTTCTAGCGGTGACTAACTTTCAGCGGCAACAGAAAGTCACTACTAAAAGTCTATTTTTAGTGGTGATGGAAAGTCACTGCTGAAAGTCATTTCAGTGGCGACAAAATGGAGCCACTAAAAGTTGATGAGTTTGCTACTAGGAAATGTTGCCACTAAAACATAAGAATCAGTGGCGACTAATGTCTCTACTGAAGCTTGTTTTAGCGGCAATAAAGAAGCCTCAATTAGTGGTGACAAAAATGTCACCGCTAAAAAGCTATGTGTCGCCACTGATTACTACTTTCAACAGTGACACTTTTGTCACCGTTGATTGAGGTTTCAACAGTGACATTTTTGTCACTGCTGATTGAGGTTTCAATGGTGACATTTTTGTCGTCGCCGATTATATTTTCAATGGCAACATCATTGTAGCCGTTGATTACCTTCTATGTTGCCACTGAAAGTTTAATTATTTTTATAATATGATAATTATACAAAATTTTTTATTTATATTCCTGATAAATATCATCATAAGGTTTAATAAAATAAAGTAATTAAGTGAAAAATATAATATATTAAATAATAAGATTTATAACCATCAAAGTGTTTTTATGTCTTTAACAAAAATAAAAAATTGTTCAATTAAAAGATCCATTATATAATGCAAAAGGAAAATTACATAGAGGGACCAATACTAGGGACGCTAGAAGTAGGAGTATTCGTAGGAGCATTTAATTGCATTTTTTGCATGAAAGCAGTGAACTGAGCCTGTATTCTTTGCTCTATCATTTGCTCTATCCTTTGTTCAAGTTGTGTGCGCTTTGCTTCCATCTCTACTCACTCTGCTGCACATTCTGCTTCTATTTTCTCTCGACCTGTTGCATGTTCCGCTTCCATCTTCTCTCGCTCTGTAGTAAGATTTGCTTCCATCTTTTCTCACTCCTCCTAAAATCTTCTTTCAAACTCTTCATATAATTGGATGTGCACATTCTCTTCCTTTGAGGCTTTGCTCCATAACCTTTTCTTCTAATATATCTCGACCTCTCACCAAGAACAGCTGACAATATCTCATTAGAGGTCATTCGAGCATCACTCTCTAGGGCTAAACGAGCTCATGCATGCCATCCTATAATTACAAATTACAAATTAAATTAATGAAAAAATAAAATTATTTAATTAAACATAAAGGATAAATATAATGTTTACATGAATCTCTTCAGATTGCGGATCTGCCCACTCTAACTGGCCATCTGCGGTCTTCCTAGCATGTGGTATCTCCTAAACCTAATCTAGAGGCATAGGTTGTCTAGTGGTGGGGTCTCTCTATAAAGCATAATATACAAAAATAATAAATCTTGAAAAATAAATGAATTGATGAGAAAAACAAAGTGAAGTGAAGAGGCAACTTACTACAGAGAACTCAACCTCTACAAATAATCGAGGACCGCATGTATGCTATGTTACTTGTTTTCCTCGGTTTTGTGTGTTTCTAGCACTTTTATTCTACATCAAATCTGAGTAACTACTAAGTGTATTGAATGATATAATTGTATTATCCATTTAAATGGTTAGTATTTAGTAAGATACCTTAAATGGATAACCACTCCCAATCTTTAAAACTTACAGTTTGAGGTGACTTGCCAACATTTCTTCATCAGTGTCAAATTTCTTATAGTGGGTATGTAAGTTGGTCTTCCAATTTTAAAAGCCTTTAATTAATCACATTTTAAATAAAAAATATAAATAGTAATAATATTTAATTAACTATATACATGATTTTATTAACTATATCTCTCACACATATTTTAATTAATTATATTATCTCCTTCAATAATTTTATTTCTCAATCCTCTCATACATATGTTCATCATCAAATATTATTATGTCAATTAAGTATGCTCACACTAATTTAATTATAATAATCTCCCTCATATATTTAATTATGTTATCTCTTTCAATTATAATGTCCTTCTCTCTCTCTCTCTCTCTCACACACACGCGCGCGCACACACACACTCTACCTCTCTTCCAATTATATTTACATCTATCTCTCTCTCTCTCTCACACACACACACACACTCTATCCTTCACTACTTTCCCTATCACTCAAACTTGCATACTTTCTTATGCATGCCTCCACCTCATTTCTCTCCCATGCAAAATTTTTTTCTATTCCATCTCTCAAACATTTAATTATAGTATATGTGTTTTATACACACTCCAAACTTTCTTCCTCTCACTTTCTCTCTCGAACACCACATTATCTTTCTTTTAGTCTCACTCTAACACAATAATACATAAAAAACAATAATGATCAAAGTTACTTAATTACACAAATAAAAGATTATAATATAAACTTTTCACAAAAAATAAAAAATAATAAAGAAAAATGTGAAAAAAATTTTAGCGGTGACAAATAGTGTCGTCGCTGAAAGAAGATTTAGTGGCGATCATTTATCGTCACTGAAAGTCGCTGCTGAAAAGATATTCTGTGGCGATAGTAAGCAGTCGCCACTGTAGTGTGTACCTTTTGGCGGCAACAGATTTTGTCGTCGCTGAAAGCTGCATCTATAGCGGCAACAATAAGAAGTTGCTGCCGTTACTATCATTTTTTGTGGTGACATTTTTGTCATCACTAAAAGTTTGACTTTCGCCGCTAAAAGTCATATTTTCAATGGTGACTTTTTTGTCACTGTTAAAAGTCGTTGCTGAAAATTCAGTTTTTTGTAGTATACCCAACTATTGATTTAGGGAATATTTTTCTCCAACTCAATCCAAATCCAGCTCCATTTATGAACATGAGGCAAATCATCGCCTTTGCGCAGAGGGAAACCTTGGATTGCCAAGTGAATAACATGTGCAACGCATCGTAGTTTGTGAGTTTATGTTGAGGATCAAACACAGGCACTATAGGATTATCATTCTAATGCTTTAGTCTATCTTTGATCACCCTCTTGCATATTGCAGGACTAATCATGTAGTCCACTAATATGACTGAAGAAAACGTGCACATACAAAAAAGTCTTGGGTTTCATTTATAGGCCTCATATCTAATGGACCTCACCTAATGGGCCGTGACCACCCAACATTGGCCCAATATAATAAAGCTAACACATCTAATACCCCCTCAAGTTTATGGTTGAAATACTTCAGAAGCTCCTAACTTGCTGAGTAATTTTAACTAAATCTCTTTGCCAATAGCTTTGGTTAATATATCTGCCTCTTGTTCTGCTGACCGGACATGTTGCAATTTGATAAATCCTTTTGTCACTTTCTCACGCACAAAGTGATAGTATACCAAGAAGTGTTCAATATGGAGGTCTTGAAGTCCAAGAAATGCTCATCCAGTTAGAGGCCCAACTAGCCCTCCAAAGTGCTCAAAGGATTTATAGTTTCAGAATGCTTACATGGAGGATGATATGGATCATTGCTTAGACAATGACATGGACACAGGCAAAGCTTGACGTGACATATGGAAGGCCACCCCAAAAGCCACCATGGCATGTGAGTCATTAGAGTGTAAACACTTGGACCTTAAGAAAGACAAGAGTGTGTTTCAAGAGCCTAAAAGGAGATTTGAAGCCAATTCCTATGTAATTAAAGGCCCAACACAATCATATGTACCTGGAGGAGTCAATTAGAGCTATAATCTTTTAAATTAGGGCCCAAATGTATTGTGTTATGGACCATAGGAGTTCCAGAATGTAATTCATCAACCATATTGAAGCCTAAATGGGTGTCTAAAATGCCCATACATGCTTATGGACGTAAATAGCAATTATGAAGATCTATTTGGAAGGTCCAAGAAGATTGAAGAAGCATCAAGAGTGATCTTATATGATATTAAACAGGATTCTATTTGTTTTAATTAGTTTCCTGTTTTACAGTTTCCTATTTTGTATTGATTGCTTCTTGAAGGCAAAGACTTACTTATTTTGTATTGCATTAATTAGTAGATAGTCAAATAATATCCTTCTCATTAATGAAGGGATCCTGCTAGGTGGTGTGTGATCTAGATTATTCTATCTTGACTAGCAAGTTAGAGTATTCTAGAAAGTCTTTTGATTTTCCTAATTTTGTTGTATTTTCGCATCTATTTTTGATGCATTTTATTTAGTTAGTGTCTTAGGCTCTAAAAAACTTATACTGGGCTTTTAGGGCTTAGGTTATCAATTAGGATTTTCATATTAGGGTTTTCAAGAGTCTTAGTCTATAAATAATTCAATATGTATTCTTTTCAGAGAGATGATTTTGAATAATTAATAAAAATGAGAATTTTATTTCTTTTTGTGTGAGCCTTGCTTGCATCCTTGTATTCTCGTGAGAATACTTGACGGTATCAAGGGAGTGATCAACCTTGTGGTGTCTTCATGGCTAGGGTTGTAAGAGACAGGTTCTCTTAAGATCCTACCTCGATCATATGTCTGATTTCTTATGTTTGGGATTACAAGAGGCAGATTCTCTTGGGGTCTCATTCCATTCCTATACTTGATTCTAGTCGGTCCGTACGTCCCCTCTGATATGAGGGGATGTACGGACCAGCTAGAATGACAATCAATTTCAATGTGCTTCGTCGTTTCATGAAAAAACAGATTTGTAGCAATGTGAATTGTAGATCTGCTATCACAATGCACTTCCACTGCTTGTTGTACAGAGATTCCTTAGTCACCCAAGAGACCTTTTACCTAGATAACTTCAGAAATAGCCGAACCCAATGCTCTGTATTCTGCTTCTGCTGAGGACCTTGAAACAGTAGCTTGCTTCTTTGTTTTCCAGACAATTAGCGCATCTCCCAATTTGAGAAGATAACCAGTCACGGACCTACACATGGTCTCACATGACTCCCAATCTGAATTACAGAAGCAACTAAGCCTTAGGTCCCCTTTTGAGCTTAGCCGAATCCTAAGACCATCGTAGACTTCATTGGTAGTCGCATGAATTGACTTAGGACCTATACAGGAAGTGAGATATCAAGTCTTGTTAGAGTTAAATAAATCAACTTTCCTATTAGTCTTCTATACTTCCTTGGCTCCTTGAACAGATCCTCCTTTTTTTGTTTCCCTTCTTCATAGGCAATTAATTTCAAGTGTTGTAGGATTGGCAAAGTGAGAGGCTTACAGCTACTCATTCCTATTTCAGCAAGAAGAACTAAAGTATATTTTCTTAGTGTTAACATAATACCCTTCCTAGACCTTGCTACTTCAATCCCTAAGAAGTATTTCATAATGCCTAAGTCTTTAATTTTAAACTGACCATGCAGAAAATCCTTAACCTGATTGATTCTTTGTTTTGAACTATCAGTGATTAATAAATCATATGCATAAACTAAAATAATCACCATGGCATCATCATAATATTTAGTATACAAAGAATAGTCATGCTTACTCTGTAGAAATCCCCCATTGATCAAGGGCAGTGATAATTTTTGGTTCCACTGTCTAGAGGCTTACTTAAGCCCATAGAGGGATTTCTTCAGCTTACACAACATATTATTCCTATGTTTCTTAAAACCTTGGGGTATGGTCATGTAAACTTTTTCATCAAGATCTCCTTGCAAAAATGCATTATTCATATCCATTTGGTACAAAGGCCAATCATTTACAGCAGCTAACTTCAAAACAGTCCTAACAGTAACCACTTTCACTACTGGGGAAAAAGTTTCATTATAATCCACTCTCTCAGTTTGACTGTAACCTTTAGCCACCAATCTAGCTAGCTTTGTATTTGTCAATGGTTCCATCTGGTTTATATTTTACTTTATAAACCTATTTATAACCCATCGGTTGCTTTCCCTTAGGTAAAGGAACTATTTTCCATGTATTATTTTGTTCTAGAGCATCTATTTCATTCCTCATAGCAACAACCCAATTCTGATAAGTTACAACATCATTATAATAGGTAGGTTCAGTAATAGCATCAATAGAACAAAGACAACACATGTAAGAAGGAGAAATATTATCATATGATATATAACTTTCTATAGGATACTTGCAAGCAGACCTGTGAACAAAATTCTTACTAGAACTTGACTGAGCCAAATTACAAATATAATCCCTAGACCATATAGGTGGTTTTCTATCTCGGATAGGACATTCACTAGGAGGAATAGGGACTTCAATTTCACCATTAGGGACCTGAACATTAATATTAGTTACAAGGTCATCCTGAATCTGATTTCTTTCCTGATGAGGTTCAGTTATAATCTGTAGGGGCTGTATCACATTATCATTATGATCATCAAAATAAAACATTTGTTTAATTTCATTGGATACTCCACCTTGATCAATACTACTCTTAACTTTAAAAGGGAAAACATCTTCCAGAAATCTTACATGTCTGCTAACAAAAATCCTGTGATCTTTCAGATTTAATAAAACATAACCCTTTTGATTGTTAGGGTATCATAAGAAAACACATGGCAGAGATCTAGGTTGAAATTTATCCGAATTTACTAAATCTGTGGCATATCCCAAACAACCAAAAACTCTTAAATGATCATAACTAGGGGGCTGACCATGAACAAGTTGATTGGAAGTTTTAAAACCTAAGATTCTACTAGGAATTCTATTAGCTAGATAAGTTGCCATTTTTGCACACTCACCCCAAAACCTAACAGGTTTACCGTATTGAATTGTTAAACCTCTTGCAATCTGCATTAATGTCCTATGCTTTCTTCCCACAATCCTACTGGGTATATGGACAAGTAGTTTGATGAATCACTCCCTTTTCCTAAAAAAATGCTCCTAATTCATGGTTAACAAATTCAGTTCCATTATCACTCCTTACCATTTTGATAGATTTACCAAATTGATTTAAAACAAAAGCAAAAAAATTCTTAATATGGTAAGCAGCTTCAGATTTATGTTTCATGAGATAAGTCCAAGTTGCCCTAAAAAAATCATCTACAATTGTTAGAAAAAACTGAAAACCTGAATGTGTGCTTACTTTGTAAGGTCCCTAGACATTCATGTGAATCAAATCAAAACAATTCTTACTTTTGATGCAACTGGAAGGAAAAGGAAGCTTAGTTTTCTGAGATTGAAAGCAAATATCACAACTTTTATTCATAGTCATTGTTTTGTTTCATACAATATCCAAATGTCTCATTACATTCATAGGAGTATGTCCAAGTCTCTTATGTAAAAGCCACAAATCAGTATGAGTAACAGAACAACAAGTATCACTATCAATTTTTACACTAGTGTAATCCTTTTCTAAATCCAACAAGTATAATCCATGAACTACGTACTCTACCAATCCCCTTCATTCTGCCATCCTGTAGGTCCTACAATATACATCTACCAAGATAAAAGGAAACAACACAAAACAGTTCTTTAGTTATCCTAGAAACAGAGATTAAGTTGAATTGAAGTTCTGTAGCGTAGAGAAGGCCCTTTAATTCAATTCTATTGGAGAATTTAACATCTCTTATATGAGTTATAGAGAATCTGTCTCCATTTGGGATTTCTATAGTTTTAATTGGTCCATCATAAGGTTTATAACTGTCTAGTAACCCTAAATCACTAACCATATGTGTAGTGGCTCCCGAGTCTAAAACCCATTTACTACGGTTCAATCCAGATGAGATAAGAATAGGCAAACCTGTACCACTAAGTGTGTGGGCATTAACATTTGAATCCTTCTTTAACAACTCTAGCAGACGCTCATACTGTTCCAGTGTAAAACTTGGTGATATGCTTGACACATTGGTAAGTGCCTCTCTTTTTCGACTTGGAATATTCTACCTGCCCTTGACTTCTTGGTTTTGCTTGGATTTATTCCCTTTATATTCAGCTGGGAATCCAATTATTTCCTAGCAATTTTCTTTCACGTGACCTCGTTTATGATAGTGATCACATTCCGGGGTAGGGGTTCCTCTTTCCCTTCCTCTTTTCTTCCTCTACCCCTGGCGATCATTACCGCTCCCTCTATAGGGTTAATCCTTTCGATGCTCACAACACCCTTTTGTGCTTCTACTTCCAAAATTATTGTGTAAGACTGATTGACTGTCAATAGAGGATACATGAGGAGTATCTGACTCCTTGCATTATCGTATGCATCGCTTAAACCTATCAAAAATTGCAATAGATTCTGGCGTTGCATTACTTCATTGAATTCTTTTGATGCAGGGCACTTACACGAGGGAACCACTATGAGACTAGCCTGTTCCTCCTAGAGCTACTTAAGCCGTGAATAGTAGGCAGAAACTGAGAGCTCTCCTTGATGCAGAGAGTGTATCTCTCGGTGAAGAGGAAAAATTCTGGACCCAGATACCTTGTCGAAGCATTCCTTGATATCTTCCCAAGCCACGCTCCCCTCTTGCAGATATACCAAGCTCTTCGCCAAATCTTTAGAAACAAAGTTCAATATCCAGGACATTACCACAACATCGCAACATTCCCAGTGACTCTGAAGATCAGGTTCTTGATCGGATTTCTTGCAAGAACCATCTATGAATCCGATTTTATTCTTTCCTCTTAACATGATAAGCATTGCCTTGCTCCAAATTGTGTAATTCTCACTCCCAGTTAAGACTTGATTGATGATCGAGACTCCTTGCGTGTCAGACGGATGAAGGTAAAATGGATGTGCAAAGTTGATCGCTGCATTGTCAGATACTTTCTTGTTGCCCATAGTTCTTCCCGTAATCGACTTAGGGTTTACTGATTTAAGGGCTACGGTGTGTTTCTTAGTTTCGAGGCTAACGAACAAATAACGAAAGGCTTCTGGTCTGTTCTTGATTCTCAAGGAGGTGAGATGGGTTTAACACCTTTAGGCCTCTTCAGTGCGATGGATCTTGAACCCAGGCTCTAATGCCATAATACGAAACAGAGCTTGTGCAGTGTAACTAAATACTACATGTATTTCAATTATGAAGAAAATGCACACATACAAAAAAGTCTTGGGTTACATTTATAGGCCTCATATCTAATGGACCTTACCTAATGGGCTGTGACCACCTAACATTGGCCCAATATAATAAAGCTAACACATCCAATATCCACCACGTGCCACTTCATCTTCCTTATCTCTTCAAACTGTCTCTTCTTGTTGTTGCTGTTGCCTGAGATGATATCTCCTAATACTTCATCATCAACAATGGGGCCCATAAAATCTTAAACCCATCTTCTGTGAATCCTTTTACTATTTAGAGTAGCCTGACATGACAAGTTCTAGTATACGAAATGATAATTGTTCACTTATCATTAAAACTCATTGATAATTATTTTCTTTTTTTGGGACCTTCTTGTAATTTTTCCAAGAGAATATTAGTTTACATGTATGTATCTACATTTGTATAGATCAACATTAATTAATTTTGTAACCAACAAGTTGTTGCTTGAGGTGGTAAGTAGCCTTACTTTCATAAGGAGGAGAATACAAGTTTGAATGACCGAGAAATACATTTGTTAGGAGGGGTGAAAACCCTTTGTGCTCTAAGTCTCGAAAAAAAAAACTCTTGATCAAATGAAAAATATTAATTAATTTTGTAATATCCTGAAATTTGACGCTATGAGTAATGGGTTATTAAGTTTCTATGAGGTTTAAAGAAATTAGTTTGAGGAATATAGGTTCAAAAATATTTTAGTGGCCAAAAAAATTATTTGGGGTAAAATTAAGAAAATAATTATTGAAATTATTTAATGCCTAAGAAAATTTGAAAAAAAATTATGAAAATTTATTTTGTGCATTTGAGGATTTTATGAGAAGGTTTGTTTCCTTAAAAAATGGTGTAAACAATTTAAATCTAACTTTTGGAAGTAAGAACCTATTTTCTTTGAGAAAAATAGTTGGAAGTTAATTTTTAAATCAAAATTTTTAGTATTATTTTATAGGCTAAAGAAGCTACAAAAGAAGAAAGTTCTTGTAAAGTGTTGGAAATTCATCTTTGGAATTTATAAAATGAGTACATTCCGAGAAAGTAAGTAGAAAATTGTAATTTCTTATCTCAAGCTAAGGTGTAATTAGGCTAAGTGCAAGCCCATTTTGGGAAAGGGAAAGCCTATAGGTGCATCAGTATTAATGGAATTGGGTCTAACGAAAGGATTAGCTCCTTACAATGTAACGAAAGAAGGTTCAAATTCTTCTTGGGTGCCACAACCCAGAATTCCGCACAACAGGGTATGAGATTTTGACGGGCGTTTGGTCTTTTTGGGATCCCAGAACGTCAGAAAGCTGGGAAATTTGACATGTTGCTGGGCATATGACGATGTTAGGGGTTAGCTTATATTCTGTATGAACAATTCAGTAATGGAAATCTTCAGCATATACAAGCTTCGGCAGGGAAGTTGAATTTGATGGTAGGTAGATATAAAATCTCAATCCAGTTTATTTTTTAAGTTTATGCTGATTTTTTCTCCAAAATATTTATATACTAAAGGACAATTTTAATACATATGATTAATGAGGATAGTTTAAAAAAATCAATACATATATGTTATAATAAACAACCGGTTTAATTAATTTTCTTAATATCTCCAAATCAGCTACTTGTGCGTCGTTTGATAAGTTAGAAGAGTCTTGTTTTTAAATGAAATTGGAAATGAAAATAGAGGTGGACACATGAGAAAAAATAGAGATAGAAGTGGAAATGGAAATACAGGTGGGCACATAAGAAAAAATAGAGATAGAAGTGGAAATGGAAATAGAAGTGGACGCATAAGAAAAAATAGAGATAGAAGCGGACTTAAAAACATGTTTGGTGTGTTGGTGGATTTGTAAAATAAATTTTATTAACAAAACATATTTATAATAGGAAAAGGCCAAAAAACCCATGAAGCTTAGGAAAAAAAAAAATGAAACCACCCGTCATTTTCACGACTCTGCACAAAAAACATGAACATGAACCATGGAAAATCACTACTTCCAGCAAACATGAACTCTAAAGGAATAACAAATTCAAGATTTCGTCACTTACAACCTAGAATCATTGAAGAGCATAAACCAAAGTTAAGGAAGAAAACAAGAAAAAGCATGAATCAGACAACTATGAAAACAAATAAAAAAATGAGAAATCATGCGAACCTACTCAGATCTGAAAATTTGTTAGGTGGAGACAAATTGAAAACCAGAAATTTTGACAATGGGTTTCGAATTGCTGAAGAAGAGGAGGATGATGAGGTGGAAAAATGATGAGGATGGAGAAGAGGAATCACGAACGGGGAAGGGTGGGTAAAGCTGTCAATCAAAAAAATGTACGAGGGTATAATGGTCTTAAAATTTCAGTTCCGTGGAACTCATCTCAGTTCCCTAGGGAGATCATTTTTTATGGTAAGCGACTACCACAAAACAACTTAGAAGGTGTTTGGATAGAAACCAAACCATAATTTCAGAAGTAATTTTACTGTTTACGAAGTAAATATCTGTAGGAGTTTAATTCGATTTGTAAAAAAGTCCTTCTTAAAAGTATTTTTCCGACTATCCAAACACCCTTTTAATTTATATGAATTCCACTCACTTCTAGTTATCCGGTCTCAGTTCCAATGTACTAAATGAGGCATCAGCTCATATACCGAGAACGAGAGATGGTACTTTTTTCAGGGGAATATTTGACTCCGTTGCCAAGTGGAAATATTATTACGGAAAATAAAAAACAGAATAATAGCTTCTTCTTTTCTTCCCCACCGAAAATGCCTTAGAGTTGCTACAACTTACAAAAGGAAGCAAAATATCCTCTTATCTTCTACATAAGCTTCAAACAATCGAATTATATTTAATAAACTAACAGTTAAAATTAGTTAAAAATAGTAAATAGATCAGAAATATTTTTTTCCCAAATTTGTCTTTATTTATTAAGAGAGTAAATGAGAAGAAATAAGTAAAAAAAAAATGATGAAAGAGAATATATGGATGTAATATTAATATGAGAGAGAGAATACTAAATACAATCAACTAAGGACAAAATAAAAAAAGAGTAATAAATACTCAAACAAACTCAAAAATGAAGCATATATTTTGGATCAGACCCATCTCCAAAAGTGAAGCTTATATAAAGGACCGAAAGGAGTATATCAACATAAATATAAGTGTTTTGATGTTGATTTTAGGTGAAGGCCTTGAGTGCTTTATTAAAACTGGCCAATTAATAAATTATTGAATGCCAGTAAATGAATTAAATTAAGTTGAGAATCCCACAAAAAAAGAAGCTTGAAATTAGTAAATCTCAAATAAGAAACTGAAAAAAAAAGTGTTATTATTTATAATTTCAATGTTTTTAAAATCTTGTTACTAAGCTTGATTCGAAATTTAGTAATTTTAATTTTTTTTTGTGAAATTCTCCCTTGATTAAGTTCCTGATGACTTTTTTGGTCGTTTATCTGGGTTAGGTAATCCTTGAGCTCCACGTAAAAATAGGAAATCTGGGAATCCATAGTGAATAATCCATACATGCTCATCCTGAATAATCCACAATATGTAAATGTGATTCCCACTAAGAATTAGAAAAAAGAAAAAAGAAAAAAGGAAGAAGAAAAAGCTATTGAAAGTTTATTTATAACTTGCTTTTTGAATGTTTACGATGTTTAGGGGGAGAAAAAAGGTTGTTGATGCCAAAAAAAAAAAAAAGGAAAAAAAAGGTGGTCGCATAGTGATTATGATTATTATTTAGTTAGAAAGCTAACCACTAAGGAGTTTGAATTACATATGGATCACATGCATGAGATAAATACGAAAAAAAGTAGTTAGAATCGAATTTTATTATGTTATTTAAAATAGATAGGCATACCGCATATCAAATCTAAAATTTCACACACACCTCAAATAGCATTATACTCCTCCAGTCTTTAATATAAGACTCATTTAACTAATTTGATTAAATTCATGAAGTTAGGTAAGTTAGTTAATTATAAGAAATATGAAATTTTTTCGCCTAAAACACCATAATCATCTTTTTTAATATCCCTTTTCTTCTCCTACTTGATTATGATCGAGGGAGTATCATAGAGGTAATTTAGAGAAAATTGATAAATATGAGAAATGTGTCTTATATTTAGGATTAAAACTAACTCAATAATTAGGTCCTAATTAAAGACCAGAGGAATATATATGTGTGCGCGCGTGCGTATAGCTCAAGTATTTAAAAAATGGAACTTTCATCTGCGAAACAACGTCACACTTATTCAAATTTGGATTCCCATAGGTACAAGACATGAACGAAAGAACTTTGTCTAATTACACACCGTGCAACTAGCTAGAAAAGAGATAAACACAATATAATGATAAGCCCAAAAACTACAGAATTGAAGAAGATTATTCAAGTTGATGACACAAGGATTTGAAGAGAAAAGATCAAATAACTTGTGATGATGATGCAGTCAGATCAAATAACGTAACATATATAACCCAAATTCAACATGGAACATATATATATATATAGAGAGAGAGAGAGAGAAAAACTCACGGATGGCCGAAGAAGATATACATGTGAGAAGCCAAAACAACAATGGCGAGGACAGCCCCGTAAACAAAAACGGGAATGGCTTCGATGGATTTGTCCAAAGTTGGAATGTTCTTGCCATTGTAAGTCTTCGTTATACTCTCCCACCTATCGATATTTCCAACGATGGTGAAAACTTTCTTGGCCACAAGGTTGTAGTCGTTTGAAAAATTTCCTAGGCTGCCTTGGATCAGATGCCAGAAAATTCCATAATCTAATGCAAAAGCTGCCAGTGCTGTTACTGCTTTTGCACTCCATGATTATGAGTCCAGAGTTTTCAGTAGGGACGTTGTTGTTTCACGGGCTCTTGTACATGTGGTGTTCATCATTATGCCGCCCTCTCCTCCTCATCTGTTAATTACATAACTGGTTTATTGAAACTATCTGGATTCTTTAATATAAGAGTTAGATAATAAATAATTTGGAGATATTCAGAAAAATAGTTAAGCTGGTTATTTGTCACAAATGTATTGGTTTTCCTAAACTACCTTTCTCAGTAATGTACATTGGATAATTGAAATTATTCCTTAGTGAGAATTCCTTACAATCAATAGGGATATTTTGAGGAAAGATGAGAGACAAAGTGGATTGAGATCTTATATTGAGAGTCAAATTAAAATTTCAACTAGCTTTTATATTAAAAACAAAAGGTAGTATAATACAAAATGTGCATATAAAACCTAGAAAAATATTAGGAATTGCTTCTCTCCCATTAGAAAAATATATCTATGTGCATATAAAACCTACCTTCGCCACCGGTGGGTCCCTTACGTTTTACCGGCGGTTAAAGAATGGATAAATTGATGAAAAATCTCCAATCGCAAAATTTATTACTCAATATACAGTACCTTAGATTTGTTTAAAGTCCCATCAGGTGTGACTAATCTTTAGTGCTTGAAAATCTTCTTCTGTGTAATTTATCTTTGACTATGGGCACAACAAGAGAATATTTGCATGTAGCTGAAGATATATTCATTACACATAGCTAAATAAGAGTTACCCTTAGTAACTCAACAACCCTTGTCTTTAGGTACTTTAATTTGGGCAATAAATTAGATTTTGCAATTGGAGGGGGGTTGATTTGATAAAACAGAAATTAAGGAAGTGAAACTGTAACAAACAACATAATTTGCAGATCAAATTTATATTATGGTAACACAATGCATTGCTTTTCAACCACATAGAGATATATATATATATATAGAGAGAGAGAGAGAGAGGGAGTAGAACACGAAGATGATTACTTCTAAGATGGGATCAGAAGTAAAAATGTGAGACAAAACTCTGAAATAAAGGGCCTCTGGGTCGAAGGTTTCGCCAGGTTTGTTCAAGACACAGCAATCGTAAATCAATCCCAACCCTTGCATATGCCGTAGGAATAATGGCTTCACGTTTGAATCCGGCATCTTCATATGTTCACCCACCTGCTTGAGGTTTCGAATCAATTAAGCAAATGATAGTCTTTATAGGCCTATCACTTTACCAAAGGAATATATATATATATATGTGAAAATTAATCATCCTGTCCTTAATATTTTCAACTAGATTATATATAATTTAGTCCCTAAATTTGGAAATCAATCCTTATAGTTTTTTTTTTTTATATCAATCCTTATGGTTTTTCCTTGGTCGAAACTTGGTGCCTGTATTTTGATTTTCTGCAAGTCCATACTTATATATAGTTTTAACTATTTAAAATATTAGTACTTGCATTTTAGAAAATAAAATCATAACACTACAAAAAAAAGACTTTAGGCGACGACTTTCGGCGGCGACAAAAAAAGTCGCCGCTGAAAGAGTCGCCGTTAAAACCAAGACTTTTAGCTGTGACAAGAAAGTCGCCGCTGAAAATTCACTTTCAGCAGTGACACCAAAAAGTCGCTGCTCAAACTAAGAGTTTCAGCGGCGACAAAAATGTCACCGCTGAAAGTTCGTGGCTAAAACTAAAATTTTTAGCGGCGACTTTTCTAGTTACCGTTGAAAGTTCGCTATTGAAACTAAAACTTTTAACGGTGACAAAAGTGTCGCTGCTGAAAGTATACCTTTGAGAATCATTAGATTCACTTTCAGCGGTGACTATCAGTGTCGCTGCTGAAAGTGTAATATAATAATATATATTTTACTTTACAATATTAATAAACAAATTCAACCTGACTCAGCGGTAAGAAGATTGGACACGAAAGGAGGTGGTTACGAGTTCGAACCTTGAAGAAGACACATTTAAGGTAAAAATATTTGGTCGATGATGTGGTGGGAAGGAGTGATGTGGCAATGACGTGGAGGTGGTTGGTGATGATGTGGCAGCTGGTGACGATGACGTGGCAGTGGCGGTGATGACATGGCTGCCGATGATGATGATGTGGCGGCCGGTGGTGATGACGTGGCATTGGTAAAGCCAATTCTTGTTAGGCATTACTTTCAGCAGCGACAAAAAAGTCGTCGCTAAACATCCCTTCTGAAAAGTCTTTTAGCGGTGACAAGAATGTCGCTGCCGAAAGTGTCTTTAGCGGCGACAAATGTCACCACTGAAACTTCTAAAAGTTGCCGCTAAAAGATACTTTTAGCGGCGACCTTTTTAGTCGCCGCTAAAAGTTTTCAGCCACGGTTATTACGGCAATAACTTTTTAGCGGCGAAAAGTCGTCGCTGAAAGTTTTTAGCGGTGATTTTTTATCGCTGCTAAGAGTCAATTTTTTTGTAGTGTAAGGAGCAAAGTTAAACCTAAAGACTCATGTTTTGAATTGCTAAAACGACAGTTACTAATGAGTTGCATTAAATTGAAGAGTTTCAATTGAAATAAAACTAAGGACTAAGTTCCAACAGGTGGAAATTTAGGGATTGACTTAAAGTAAAGTAAAACTATAGAGATAAAATTATTAATTTTTCTTCTCTCTCTCTATGTATGTTTGTATGTATGTAGTTTATGCTGATAATGATGTGCATAAAATATAGCATGAAGCTTTGAATTAAGTATGTTTCATCCATTTCTGCTTTTTTTGATGCTAGCACTTTTGCCTTTTAGAAAGAAGCCGTGTCGATATCTTTTTGTGTTCTGACCCTTCAAGGAAAGAATAAGTTGCAATATACTAAAGGTGAAAGGAATTGAAGCAGAGAATATTATAAAATTGTGAACACTGCAAAGAACAAAGAAATAAGTTGTACGTGTGATTGTGTGTATGTGTGTGACATTGTCCAATGATACAGGATGAGATATTTCTAATGGCTCACTTTTCCCCTTTTTTCAAAGCAAAGGCTATATAGAATTAATGATTCAATTTCGACTATTTAATTAGTTTTAAGCTGACCCTAATCGTATCAAAAAGTTATAATATAATCTCTATGTCTCCATCAAGTAAAAGTAAGAGAGACAAAAATGCCTTAAAAAGCGTCATCAAGAGCAAATACTTTTAGAAGATATTCTTAATTTATTTAAATTAGGTAAGCAACTCCTATATTAAGAATGGAAGATAGTACTTGATAATTTTATTTTGTTTGTTTCAATAGCTATTAGTTGTTCTTCTATTATATTTTTTTTTCTCTTTTCCTCTTTAATTTGTATTTGGACTCTATGTTGTATGTTTCTGACTTGACTTGTGGGCTTCATACAAACTTGCGTATATAGCCCACTTTAGTTTAAAATTTTGTAATATTCTTATTTTTAGTGCGAAATTGAAGTTATATAATTTTAAGTGAAGAAAAAAGAGTAAGGCATAAAAGTGATAAATTAAATAATTTTAACGAATAAAAAAAAACCCTTAAGAACAAATTTTATTGTAAATAATAATGAATCACAATCAACTTTTACATAACAACAAAAGCACACTATATTTGAAGCCTTTATTCGAAACCTAATGAGATAGGACATCAAAGAGAGGCCAGCTAAAATCACACACCCACACATCCCTACTCAAACAGTTAAAACATTGAACATAGTATAACTACTTAATAATGAAACAAGCCTTCATCAATAATTTCAAGGGTGAAATATGAGAGAGGGATAGAAAGAGAAAGGTGGACCCCATTTCCGTCATGCTAGGTCTACTGTGCATCAGAGCTGCCTATCCTATAAAATGAGAAATATAAGCAATCTAATCACTAAAACGTTTTACAATAAGTAAACAGCATGTACTTGTTGCTGCTGTTTCCTGCACCAGAATTTATCATTGCATGCTATCTACTTGTTATAAAAACTTTTAGTGATTAAATTGCTTGTACCATACTCAATATTTTCCCAACTGATTTTGATAAGATTCAGACCAATTCAAAAATGAGATTCACAAATCTCTTTCTATTCCTCTTTCTCAACATGCATCAAACCCTACCTCATAATCTCAACATTGCCACCACTAGCATCAGCATCATTAATAACTTCATCTTTGTCTCCATGGCAGCAAGTGTATTCTGCTGATTGTAACTTCATTTTAAGCCCACAATCTGGGCAATGAACAGGATCATATATATTACTCAGATAATTCTTCAGCACCATCTGACGACAATGAGCAGCGTGATGTGGCAACTCTGACTTCACAGATTCATAGTAATTTCTAAGAGACACGTCGAACCCAGAATCCTGCTCGATGTTGTGTTTCCATAAATCAAAATCATCCAGTGTCTGGTAGAAACAATCGCCCCGACCAAGCAGTTTAACGTTTGGGCCTTTGCTCAGAAGAACCCAGCCGGAATGTTCTTGTCGGAGGCCGAGGAAGGACTTAACCTGCCGGAATGTGTCCTCGTCGATATCCTCCGCCTTCATCCTCCTCATGCTGTCAAATGTGCTCTCTACATAAGACCAGAACCTAGCAACAGTGTAACGTTCCTTGTGCCCTTTTCCATGGTGAGAATAATTTATGCAAATATCGAATCTCCTGATATTCTCGTGATCTTTTTTAATTCTCTCCAGTGCTTCTGGCATCTTGTTCAACCACTGATCATCGTACCAGTCAGTTTCGGTGCGTCCATAGATAATGATGTAATCGTCATCATTGATCTGATATTCACAAGCACAAAGAAGTTGTTCATTTTAATCCTCAACGGAGGATATATAGTGCTAAGACAAAAACTACTCCTAGTATATTCTGTGGGAGTTCTTCCTAATATTCTCTTGCCCCTATTACTCCTTCGCTGCTTAATATAATATCAAAGGGGCCAAATTCATAGAGATCAGCGAAGCTGTTTGTCTAAATATATCTTTCTTCTTTCCAACACAGGAAAATTGCCCATAAATACCTATTTGGAGAATTAATTGCTTAATGATACTTGAATTCGAATACTAGTACTTGCTGAGTATGAAATTTCCTCCCAAAATCTAACCTCTAATTAAATTACTAAAAATGGTAAAAGCATTTATTGGGGGTTGGAAAAACATTGTGTAAGAGTATATGTAGAAAGATTTTATAAAACTTCCGAGATTTTTTTTTAAAATCTTATAAAAAAAAAGACCAGGGCCGTAGGAAAGTAACTACTATGAAAAGAGAACATGTTAGTTAAACTATGCCCTACGAATAAAATGTTAAAAATTCATGTACGTACGTACGTACCCAACTATTGATTTGAGGAATGGTTTTCTTCAACTCAGTCCAAATCCAGTTCCATTTCTGAACATGAGGCAAATCATCACCTTTGCGCCATGGGAAAGCTTGGAGTTCCCAAGTGAACAACATGTGCAACGCATTGTCGTTTGTGAGCCTACCTTGAGGATTAAACACAGGCACTATAGGATTATTATTCTGATACTTCAATCTGTCTCTGATCAGCCTCTTGCATATTGCAGGAATAATCGTGTAGTCCACCACGTACCACTTCATCTTCCTCCTCATCTCTTCGAACTGTCTCTTGTTGCTGCTGCCTGAGATGAAGTTGTCTCCTTCTAATTCTTCTTCATCAACAATGGGGGCCCACAGAATCTTGAACTCATCTTTTCTGAATCCGTTTACAATTCTTGGATCACTCTGTTCCAGTCCCTCATGGATTTTCCTCAGAAGATATGTCTCATCATCTATACTGTCCAGCCCAGAAAGAAACAGCACAACATGCTTCGTCCTGAAAACTTCTATGCTCACCTGCTCATGCCCAAAAAAAAAAAAAAAAGAAAGAAACCCTTTAACTGATCTGTGTGATCGGTGTCATTTTCATAGAAAAGTTAATATAATATCAATCAGCTAGTGTTGCTGCACACGTATGCATGTTATAAGTCCCACACCGGGAATTTCAATGGATTCTTTCACCACGTAATGTTAGTTTTTTGAGATGAACCATTCCTCTGAACTTGTGATCATTACAATGCATGCGCACACACTGTATGCACATTTATTTATTAAACAAGATAGAGTTAGTACTAACTCCAATCCTAATTATAAGACCCTTTTTGTATACTTCCAATCCTAATTATAAGACCCTTTTTTATACCTCCAGTCCTAATTATAAGACCTCTTTGTAGTATACAAATAGGGTCTTATAATTAGGATCGAAAGTAGTATTATCTTTAGTTTTTGAAATTTAACCTCCTTTTTGTTTTGGTCTTTGAAATTTAAAATCAACGGGTTTTAGGGACAAATAACAGTGTCTTGGAATGGCAGGACCAAAAATTTTTTCAGGCAAGCCAAAATGAAGTCAAATTTATGAACTAAAACCACTGATGATTTTAAATTTCAGAAATTAAAATCAAAATGAAATCAAATTTCAGAAACTGAAAATAGCATTAAACCCAGTAAAATAGGTTCAAATTAAGATGATAAATTGGATTCTTGTTCAATATATAATACACAAACCATATCTCCAGTGGAGCCGTCATAGACATGTGGGTCATTCACATCTCTACGGAAAAGCAGGCACTTCAAGACCTGTACGATTTCTGTGGGAGTTTGAAACGCTATCCTATCGCGGTATCGATAATCATCTATGTAGGCTGCAATAGAAATACAATAGTAGTTTATATGTATGTATAGATGAACTTATATTAACTTGAATTCAATGAATTTTTTGTGTCACAAAAATAGAAATGAATGAATTACCTTTCTCACGGTCTATCTGGATTAGATAATCCTTGAGCCTCATGTCAATGGTGGAGATCTTGCTGCCAATATCGGATAATTTATACCTGCCCAGCCTGAATCCACAATATAAAGTGTGATTCCCATTAAGAATATCTTCGTTAAGAAAAAAAGAAGAAAAACCGTTGAATGTTTATTTACTAGCGTTTTGAATGTTAACTTTTTTTGAAAAAAGTGGTTGCACAATAATTATGAATTATAATTATTACTACTAAATAAGAAAGCTAACTAAATTAAGGAGTTTGAGTTACGCATGATATCGACCACATGCATGACATAAATATGAGAAAATTTAAAATCAAATTTTATTATGTCATTCAAAATTGATACAGGCGTACATCATACCAAATTTAAACTTCACCCACACGCATCCAATAGTTTTATACACAAACATGTAATTCAAGTAAATATTGGGTTGGTATCACTTTTAATCCTTTGAATTTGACTTATTTTGATTTTGGTTTCTAAAATTTGAAACTAGTTGTTTTGATCCCTGGAATTTAACTTCATTTTGGCTTTGATCTCTAAAAATACTGTTTCTAGGACCAAAAATTTTTAAGTGGACCAAAATGAAGTCAAATTTCATGGGTTAAAATCACTTATTTCAAATTTCATATGAATCAAAATAAACTAATGATGCCAAACCAAAACAAAATCAAATTTTAAGGATAAAAGATGATATATATTAATCAAACGTGTGCGCGTGTGTATATTTTGAGAGAGAGAGAGAGAGGGAGAGAGACAGAGAGAGAGGGAGGGAGACAACTTACGGATGGCCAGAGAGAATATCCATGTGAGAAGCCAAAATAACAACGGTGAGGACAGTCCAGTAAACCAAAGCAGGGAATTCATGCATGGCTTTCTCCAAAGTTGGAATGTTCTTGCCGTCATAAGTCTTCATTATACTCTCCAACCTAACCATATGTCCAACGGTTATGAGCACATTCTTCACCACAACGTTGTAGTCGTAGATGTCCCTATTTTTGCTTATGGCATGAACATTGCTCAACACAGCCAATGAGTTTCCGAGGCTGCTATCTTGTCTTTGAAGCCACTGTTCATATAGATGCCAGAAAATGCCATAATCTAAAGCAAAAGCTGCCAGTGCTGTCACTGCTTTTGCACACCATGAGTATGAGTCCAGAGTTTTTAGTATTGACATTGTTGTTTCATGGGCGTTTGTGTGGTACTCATGCCTCTGTGTCCCCCTCATCTGTCATCATCATGCCAAATACTACTTAATGACCATCTGATTAATTAAAAAGAATAGAATTGGAACCATGGTTCTAGGATCAAAAGGCCAAAAGCTATTGTGTTTGGATTAGCTTTTTGAGGGTGATTTTATATCTGAAGTAAGCATGTGAGAGGAATTTCCTCTCTACTTGTGTGAAAGCGCTTTTTAAAGTGTTTTTAAGGGTTTTCAAACTCTATAGCTTCTAAAACTAAGGTTTTGGGTTCAAATTAAAATGACGGTTTTGGGGCTGAAGAGTGAACATATTGCTGAAAGTTTCCCAATTACAAAATTTCATTGCCTAAGAAAACTTGAAATTTTTCAAGGACTCATGAAGTGCAACCTATTTTTAGCAAGTATGTGTAGCTTTTCTTTAGTTATATGCAATTTATCTTCAACTATGTGAAAAATGAAAGATATTTGCATATACCTGAGTATATCCTAATACTAGATTGGTGCAGAAATAGAAATTTAGGAAAATGAAACATTCTTTGATATACAAGTATAAATAATGCATGTTTGAGTTACAACCTGACAAGCAAAACGCTTGAGTAGATCTATCGGTGGCTCCAGATTGGCAAGATAAGTCTTGTCCAGCTTCTCCAGCGGATCATGCTGTAACAAACAATACAATTTGTAGATCATATATATTACTGTAAGAAGATGCAATACTTTTTCATCAGAGAGAGAGAGAGAGAGAAGGAAGATCTTTAATTACCTTTGTGCTGGGATCAGAAGTACGAAATGAACGAACAAGAATGTCCGACACAACACTGAAAAGAGCCTCTGGGTCAAAGGTTTCGCCAGGTTTGTTCACGACATAGCAATCGTAAACCAAACCCAAGACCTGCTTATCATCTAGGGTTAGTGGCTTCACGTTTGAATCCGGCATCACCATTCTCACCGACGTGGTTGTCGAGGCCATTCTGCATATAAGGTTTCGAATCAAGCAAATGACGTCTTGTGTACTGTTAATCTGCAATCACCATGCAGCGCAGTACCATATTTATAGGCTTATGGTTGCATCGGGACAAGAGCAAAGAGTATAAATCACTTTACCGGAGCCATATAATTAATTATTTTTACTCGACTATAACTCAATTCCTAAACCTTAAATTGGTTCTTATTATTTTAACTTGGTTGAAATTTAGTCCTTGAATTTTGACTTAGTGCAATTCAATGATTAAAGTATTGTCTTGGTTGAAACTCAGAACAAAGCCTTTGATTTGGTGCAACTTGGTATTACCTCCGGTTCTAATTATAAGAGCTAGTTGATTAATTAATTTCAGGAGATTAAGAAAATAAGTTAAATTAGTTATTTGTAATAAACATGTGTTATTTTTCTAAAATATCCTTACTAATCAAGTGTATTAGTTATAATTATCATTATTAGAAGGACTATCTTGGAAAGAATATATAAATATGAGAGACAAAACGGAGTCAGATCTTATATTTAGGACTAAAATAAAAGTTAAATGAGGTCTTATATTAAGAACTGGAAGTATATTAAGTTTTAATTAAGTCAAAATTATAGGGATATTGAGTTACACAAACTTAAAGATTAGGGACTAAATTTCAATCGAGTCAAAACCATAAAAATTTAGCATTACAGAGTTAAAGTTTAGGGATTAAGTTACGATTGAAACAAAACTACATGAAAGTAATTATTTTTCATAAATGTGTGTAGTTTATTAGCTAGCCTTTCTCTTATCCCTAGTAAACATGAAATCACGTGTCCTTTACTTAAGCTGATAATGATGTGCGTGGAATAACAAGTAACTTTGAAGCATGTTTCGTCCATTTCTTCTTGTTTTTTTTTTTTTTTTGATGTTAGAACTTTAACTTTTCAGAAGAAAGATGCCATGTGGATGTCTTTTTTTTTTTTTTTTGGGTTCTAACCCTTCAAGGAAAGAATAGGTTGCAATATACTAAAGCTAAAAGGGAAGCAGAATATTATAAGATTGTGAACACTGCAAAGAACAAAGAAATCAGATGTACGTGTCACGTTGTCCAGGAACATAGGACTTCAAATATAAATAATCAATGTAAAGATACACATAGAAATCAGTTTTAAGAATAAGATGTTGGTAATAGCTCACCATTTCCCTTTTTCAAAACAAAGGCTGCAGAATTAATGAATCAATCTTGACTATTTAGTTAGTATAAGCTGACTCTAATAAAAGAAGTTATCCATTTGTCTCGATGCAAGTTAAAGTAAGAGGAAAAAAAGATGTCTAGAATAGCGTCATCAAGAACACATGCTTTTGGCCCAAAAAAAGGCCCATAGTTAGTGACTGAGGAATTAATGTTAACTTGGAATATTTCTTTTTGGTATATTCTCCAACCGACAACCAATGCTTAATATTCCTTTCTAGCTATAGAAATCACAGAAGTAGCTATCATATCTAGCAAGAATTCACAAAAATATCTAGCAAGCTTATTAGTTGGAAAAGGTTCTAAAGAAAATAAAATCATGATTGATTATATCTATACTATCTTTTTTTTTTTTTTTTTATCTAAAGGTGAAAAAGGAATGTTGAGAAGATGAGGGAGAGAATTTTGAGAGGATCTGAATCCCCTTTATTAGGTTTCAATCTGTATAAACTCGGCCCATTAACAGCTCTTTAAAAGTAAGTGTATAATATCAATATATAATACTCTCGTCTCCATTTTTATGCTTTCATTAGTCGCATTTTATTCTAGAAATATCATATGCATAAAAATTTTGCAGATCAAACTAGGCATATAGATAAGAAGCGATGCAGAATTTTAGCCCAAAATCAAGGCCCACCTTTCTCTTGATCCATTTACCGCCCATCGTCACTTGATTTTTTTTTTTTAGACTTGGTCTTATCTTACCAAACCAACATAGGACTTTATTTGACACATGCTTCGTTTTTCACAACATATACATGCAACATCCACACAATATAATACCCCAGACAAACAACAGATAGGTCCAGAGAACAAACCTAAGTAGCACACAACGAAGATACATAAAGAACCTAAAACACACAGATAATTTTATTCATTATTATACGTAAAGCAAACTAGCTCATGGATGAATGATCATGGAGTCCACTTGGATTTCAGAACCAGGTTGTCAGCCTCGCCGTTCATTTTCTCTGACGATGAATGCTGATAATGGACCCCATGGCAACATTTGTAGCAGACAAATTCAATCTCCATTATCTTCTTCCGACAAGACGACTCAAGACGAGTGATGGAAATCGGAATTCTCGATCGAATGTTGTTCAATTCAAAGTGGAGGCAATGATCAGGAACACTAGGCTTCATTTGATTACAATAATTTATAAATGCATTGCCAAATCCTTGAAGCACTTGAATGTTAAATCTCCAATCATCAAAGTTCTCCAGTACACTCGTTGTTACAGGATCTTACCCCAAAACCAGAACTTTCTCGCCTTTGCTTACAAGAATCCAAGCCCTGTCATTCTTGTACGAGAGTAATGTTTGAATGTCTTTAAGGATAGGGTCTTGTTCGCGGCTGTTTCTCTGAACTAAGCTTAAGAAACAGTGTGCTATGTTGTCCCAGAACTTTGATGAAGGGTTTGGATCAGACACCTTGTGAGTTTGAAATGCTCAATTGTTGCGTCTGCTTGCCTGATGATTGGGTCCTTTTTAATGGCATCTATTAATGTACCAATCCTTTGTGTCCGGACAGCATCAGTCCCTTCATAGATGATAACGTACTTGTCGTCCCAAATCCGTATAGGTCGTCAAAAATTTCATGGTCCATTAGTTTCTTGGAAAAGAAATGAAACTGCCATGTGTGTGTGTGTCTATATATACATACATATATATAATGCACTGCAAACCACATTCTTCCCATGAATATTGTACCTTCTGCCCTCGGTCGCCTTGTATAATATGTAGGACTCGAGTTTATGCTGTACAAAGTAAACATGCGAGAGGAGATTTTTCTCGTGATGTGTAAAAATGACTTTTTGTAAGTGATCTAAACACAAACTAAATAGGAAAGACACAAACTACTGATTATGTGCCTCTCCTAAAGTGTACATAACTCAAAAGGAAAAATGTAAAGTCGCAATACACACACACACACACTCCTTCCGGTCCATTTTATAAGATGCTTTTAAGTAAGTTGGTTAAAGTGTCTTGATTTTTTAGAAATTTGAGTGACATTCAAGTAGAAAAGGATCTTGTGTGTAGAGTATCCATGCAATTGTCTTTTTCTACAATAAATATGGTCGCAATCTAAAAACGAGGACCATTTTGGAAGAACAAAATAAATAAATCTTATATATATTTTGATACAACAAAAGTTTATAGAAGATAACGAAAGAAGTAATACATATACGTATATACATATATACATATGCGTACGCATGTATGGACATGTACAGCCATTTCTCACAATTTGAATTAATGGAAGTGAGACATAACTCTCTTTTCTTTCACTATACAACTTTGCTTTAGGTAAATTGGATTTTGGAGGATACAATTTTGGGACATCTAGTGCATGAATATATCGAAGATGATTTTGGGTAAAAAAAACTGATTACTTGACTTTGGAACTTACCCATTTTCTGATCTCTGGATAAAACTTAGTTGCTTCGTTCCAAAACCAGTTCCATGGAACAATGAGAGATCCTTCACGCTCAGGTCGAAATGGGAAGGCTTCGATGTTTCAAAGGAAGATCATGTGAAGTGCATTTTTGTGTATCACTTCACCTCTAGGGTTTGTGATGACGACAATAGGACTTCCCTGGTAATGCCACTCCTCTTCTAGAACCTTCTTGTCTTTTATGACCAACAAGTTCTGTAATACGTACCATGGCATGCTTGATTTCATAAGCTTGAACTTATCTTGATCTTCATTTGCATCGCCTTCCACCACAGGAACCCATATAATTTCATACTATTGCTTCTCTCTGTCTTTCTGAATGCTTCGTGGATAGATTTCAGGACTGAAATCTCATCTTCAATGTTGTCCACACCAGAAATGAACAATAAAAGATTCTTCTTCTTCAGCATTCCACTGCTTACCTTTTTAGCCCCCGAAAGAGATCACTTAATAGTTAGGTGGAATTAATATGATTTTTCTGCAAACTGTTTATATGAATGTGAACTGCTGAAATCAAATCTTATTATTTATTTTCTTATATACGTTAAATTAATTTAGGGAAAAAATATTTAATTGGTATTTCCTTGTAGTTTTTTTTATTAAGTTTTTATAGTTTCATCAGTTATAGGCATTAGTTTCTATGCCTATAATTTATTAATTAGGATTGGCACAGATGCTGACTAAACAACATGTGGCGCAGATGCTGACTAAACAACATGTAAGTTGCTACAAAATACAAAATAAAAAGAGGCTTTTTTAAAAATAAAAATCGTATATTATCAACATAAAAATAATTAAAAAATTGTTATGCTCATAACCTCCCATGTTCTTATATTTATATAGAATCTGTAATCTGGTTAATTTTGACTTTATCCACGTGGCAAAATTAATTCAAATGCATGTAGGTTTGTTTTTAGAGTTAACCACTTGTTAAGAAGTGTTATCAAAGAGTTGAAGCTCAATGGTTTCTTTGGGGAAGATCAAAGCCCTTAAAAGCTCCACAATTCCAGAAGGAGACAGGAACACGCGCGATCGCCATGTTCGATCAATCCCAGCTTCTGCAAAATTCCAAACAAGCTAGTATTGTTAACGTTGATACATACTTCAAATAATTAGGTTTCAAAACCTGAAAAATCTCAGAAACATTTTTCTTTTCTATATAATTTGTAACCTTTTTGAAGTCCAATCTCATTTAAGTCATTATTCAATCTCATGAGCACATGATTGCGTTTCCCAACAACTTCGGGTTTGATGTTCCAATCTCTACATCAAATGCAATTGCTGAGTACATGAAGTAAATAACATACACA